TGCCGTAATTTATGAAATTGAAATTACACAAGAAATAAATACATTTATAAAATATATCAACAAACAATGGATTCCGATAAGTAATGTTCTTAGTTATGCTTCGGAACGCCATCGCACAATAAATCCCGTCGAGTGATGGCATCATCGTACAAACGCAAGATTCGAGAAAAAAACTCCTTTTTCTCAATTTGTTTTTAAATGAAAAAGGGAAGCGTGTCATCAAGATTGTAAGATAATTAAAATTTATTTTGATCTACCGAAGAAAAACAGGCGTATTCGTCTGATTTCCTGGAACAATAAAATTACACAACTCGTGTCTGATGTTGATGCAGGAAAAATTTCCCCAATACAGTTTAATTCTTTAAAAAGATAATTATTATTATACAAATCCCCGATAAACATATAAAGAAGCTCTATCATTGGTCAGAAATGACATCGGAATGCTCACTAGAGTCTTGACAGGGCATTGTGGCTTGAACAAGCATATTGTCAATTATTGGGCAGAGAGAAAATAGAGACTGTAGATTCCTATCACTAGGTGGATAAAACTCCTGTGCATCTCCTCACCCAATGCTGCCCCCTGATGGGAGTACTAAGTTCCATACTGGGAAGGCACAGGCCACAACATAAATACTGTCGGAGTTAGGAAAGGCCTTGGCTCTGTAAGCATTGGTGATCACAATAGATCATAGGCCCCGAATAAAGCCAGCCCAATGGGTGGCTTCCCTTATATAGCATATTATTAAATAATAATATTGATATTATGAAGAGCAACAAAAAATACAACCATGAATATAAAAATAGAGAAGTGAAGGAATAACAATGAATATCCTACCTTATGTAGGTTGGATATTCATTGTTTGAATATTGACCTTGAATATCCCAAATATAATATTTATTTCGTCCTTTTCGTAGAAAAACGAAGGACTTCATTATCCTTTTTCTGCTTCCGGCTCGTTCATTCGGGATTGTATGTGGTATAAACGGATTGTTTGTAATTGATACAATAACGATATTTTTGTGAAGATTTCATTTTTCTTGGCTCTCTGTGTCGTCAAAAGAGGTAAATGTAAGGTTTTCATTGTTTATACAAACATTGGAACTTTAATTTAACACTAATTAATAATTAATGTAGCAAAAATTAAATGTAAACCACCTCGTTTTTGTATTCTACCTAGTACGAGTTATAAATTTATTGTTAATACGTTCAGCACCAAGTGTATACCTTGTTAGACATCCAATGTTTTTATCCCGGGCCAGTGTGTCCCTGGCGAGATATAGGTAAGGCTTGCCTCTTTAGGCCAAGTATCTCAGTGTATACAATTTCGAATATTTTGTATGAGCGTCTGAAAGCACTCGCCCTTACCAATCGTTCAGTGTTTTTGGGATATAAATATATGTGATAGTTTGAAGTTATGGCCCAATAAAAAAAATTTAAAATTTTCTATCAATCGCCTTTTTTAAAAAAATACTCAATTAATTTATTAAATGAGATCAAATTTAGCACAATAAACTTAACTTATAAATTATTATTTTGTTTAGCTAAATGTATGAAAAAAGTTTTCAGTACAAATGAAAAAAAAAAATGAATAACGGGGCACTTGGGGTCATAATATTAATTCCACACACTACTTTTAGCAGCAATAGCGCTCCTTGTGAAATAGTACGTCCAGGACGTACTGCCACCTTACCTATTACAGTAATGTGAACGGTTTCGAAGGATAAGGGTGCTGGTGAAATTACAGGCACATGTGACTTGTCAACTTATGTCTCATGGTGTCGGGCGCAGTGGCGGTGCCTCTCAGATCTTTGTGATTTAAAGGTCTGAGTGACACTGCAACTGTTAGGGACAGGCGTGACGCTTGCCACCAGTCACACGCCTTGTTCGTTCCGTCACTTAGTATTATAAAAAAAAAACTAAACTAATAACAACACAAACTATATAAGTTTAGTTAAGTAAAAAAAATGTGATTCCACGATTTTTGCCATTTGGCGCTGAACGTGTTAATAGACTTCTTAACATATTGATGGCATACACTATGAACATTACCCACAGTGGTGAAAGAATTTGCCAGCCGGCGTACGGGACTCGGTGATTGTAGCCCGGATACGCCAGACGTACAGGAAGGAAATGGTACATTGAGGGAGGAGGCTCCTGTCGTGCACCCCAGTTAATACATATGAAAAGCGTGTACCGCTGCTGGTACCGGTTGGAATGTTCAGCAGGAGAGTAGTATTAGTAGCCTCTGCAACCTTCATACGTCTTGCTTAGTGAGTTTAAAGTTCAAAATTCAAAAGGGTAAAGAAATAGTGATAATAAATCCATTTTTATAAATATTATTCCCGTTTTATTAGTATTTGTGAATTTTAAAATGTTTCTTGCACAAGAGATTTTTGGTAACTGGTAAACATTTCAAAAAATTAACGAGAAGACGTGTTCGCTGCCACGATCAGGCAAGGAGTGAAGATGTAACGAAACAAAATTAGAATGGTGAGGCAAAGGAAATTATTAAAGAACGATTCAAAATTTAAAAACGAGTGGCCAGGATCCGGAAAAAATGCGATAAAAAGGTTCCCACCTTTTTGACGATGTAAGGAGGTCACATCGTCACACGTGTGACGACGTTAACCTCCTTCATCGTCATGCCACCTTTTTATCACCCTTTTTAATGGTTTCTGGCTACTTACTTTTGAAATTTGTAGTCGTTCCCGAATCTCTTTTTCTTCCACTATCCGCACGTGGTTTCGTTTCATTATCACTTTTTTCCAAATCCCCGAAGAGAGAAGGCGGGCTTATTAATCATCATGTAAATCTCCAACTCCACTTAAACTTAAACACCAAACAGACATAACACTGCAGTACTAATTAATATGTTTTAATTTATTCTAATTTCCATAAATAAATTTAACAAATTTAACATAATTAAATAATTTGTAAAACATTACGTAGCGTAAATTGGAATGTTTCTTTGTAAAATTAAAAATAAGGTATTTAATTCATAACTTTTGTAACTATACTGAAAAAAGAGGGTGGTTTGCATTAATATTGGACATAACTGGTTGATGACTGTACAACCTCAGTCAACCGTGACCATGGAACCTGTAAAGAGCCCGAAACGTTGGTTTGTTTGAAAAAACAAATATACGCGATTTAAATCCGAAAAATTACTATTAACTTGAAACTGTTTTTAAAGCAATATCCGCGTTTAGGCCTTCTTGGGGTAGATACCTAGACTTTTGACTGTTTTATTTTGTTACAGCCTTTCTTTTCCTCTTCTAACAAATTTATGTGGACTGAGCCTAGACGAGGGAAAGGACATAAACATGAGCTACCTACACAGGGTTTGTCCAAAACGGGCAAATTAATACATGTATTGGGCCCGACACTAAAGGGTTTTTCTACGAGAACTTTGTTTTGTAAACCAAAATTCATCGCTGTGGCTGTGTGAGTCACACAGCCACTGACACAATGAATTTATTACAAACCAAATTTCCCGATCGTATAATTTCACGAAATTCAGCCGTTAAGTAACCAGCTCGAACATGTGATTTAACACCGCTTAATCATTATTTATGGGGTTACGATAAAGACAAAGTCTATACGGAGCCAATCGAATCGATTGCAGCCTTAAAAGTCAAAATTCGTGAAATGATTAACGAAATAGACCCACCAGTTTGTCAAAAAGTGACTTTGATGCAAGAATCGACATCTGTAACTGTGGTCGTGGTGGACATTTATCAGTAATCATTTTTCGTTTATTATTGCCAAACCTTACCATTTTTAATACAATAAAAATTTGAATCAGTGTAATCTAAATTTATTGTTTTATTTTGATTTACAAAACAAACTTCTTGTTGAAAAACCTTTATATAACCGGCTGCCTTTTGAATTTGTTAATTGCGCTTCGGATAAGTTATTTAAATGTGGATTAAAGCTCGGTTCTACTTTTCAAGTAATCAATAATACAACTTATATAAGATGATTATAATTTTGAATGTAACTATAATAGTAATAAAAGGAAATAATACGGATATAAGAAATGAAACTATTTTTCCGGATTTAAATCGCGTATATTTGTTTTTTCAAAGAAACCGACGACATTTCGGGCCCTTTACACGTCCCATGGTCACGGTTGACTGAGGTGGTACAGTCTTCAACCAGTTATGTCTAATATTAATGCAAACCACCCTATTTTTTTACTATAGTTACAATAGTTATTAATTAAATACCTTATTTTTAATTTTACAAAGAAAACATTCCAATTTACGCTACATTAAGTTTTACAAATTATTTTATTGAATGAATTTTTATTAAGTTTTATTTATTATTAATTATTAATAGAAATTAGAATAAACTAAAACATATTAATTAGTACTGCAGTCTTATGTCTGTTTGGGATTTTTCATTAGAGGAAATACTGGATCCCTAACTGGTGGTACGGAGAAACCATCTTCCCTGTTGAAATTAGGATGTTTTTTAATTTCAATGGCCTCTCGCAGCATCCTGGGCAGATAACGGACTTCTTTTGCAAGGACCTGGGGTTTGTCAAACTTCATCGAATGTGTAGGTTTATCCATGACATGCTCGCAGACTGCAGACTTGTCGCGATTTAAATCCGGAAAAATAGTTTCATTTCCTATGTGTAACAATCGCGAAAACCTAAGAACTCAATAAATACGGATATAAATTATAATTTTTTTATGACTTGTAAAAGTTAATTTTGTCAATATATAATGTCTATGTCTTTGTCTAACTAATGCTAGGTTACATGCATACGAGTATATGTTAATAAACTTATTAGATTGTTATTTAAGGCAGCATACGTGTTACTTTGTACTTATTTCTGTGTCTTTTGCAAATATTACTTATTATTATTATTAAAACTTTGTTTGCAATTTGCAAACATGATTTTCTCTTGAGAAATATTCTTGTAAAACACTGGAGATTCTTTTATTTGCACTCTGAACTTTTGTTACAAATAAACAAAATCTTGTTTTAGACGGCGTATTCTGACGAAGCAACTTCTCTGGCTGGCGACCGACAAATGTATGCTCCTTATGGATTTTATAAAGGCTGCCGAGTAGCCATCAAAAAAGTCGATAAGCAACGTATTGATCTCACACGACCTTTACTTCTTGAGCTAAAAAAGATGAAAGATTTGGAACAAGATCACTTGGCTAGATTCTACGGGGCATGTGTAGACCCGCCGCACTGTTGCCTTTTAACCGAATACTGCCCCAAAGGTTCTTTACAAGATATACTGGAGAATGAATCTATAAAACTGGATTGGATGTTCAAAGTTAGTCTGATGAATGATATCGTCAGGGTAAGTGTTTTTATACTAATATTTTACACAAAGTTTTACTCATTGACTTACAAATAATGGACGACGGGTCTAATACAAAAACCACGAAAAAAATGTCCCAAGTCAACCTATTTAAACGTAGTGACATGTAAAGGAATATGAAAAAGCTAAAACGTTGAATTTAAATTGTAATGTCATCGCAGTACTGTCTAATTTTGCTTGCTTCGCTGACAGTCGAACAAACGAAGACTAGAGCGTGAATGACGCTCTGTATACGATTTTAACGCCCTATAAGTTCGGACACTTTTTAGCGCGGACCCGACGTCCATATAATTGTAAGTTAATGGTTTTACCAATATTTTTCATGTGTCAATTAATTTATGTAAAATAAACACTATATGTAAATCTAAGTTTATCTTAGTAAGGTCAGCCATTGCGGAGAGTTATTTTTTATAATTTCAAGTGACGACACGAGAAAGTCGTGCGCCTGATAATACACTGTATGTTTAAAACGTCAATTTTTCCTTTGGAGAATCAGAGGATTTCACATTATAAAATTTATTTGAAGTTACTTGAAAATCAGACAATATCACAAACGTTGCTCTAATTTCAAAGTAAATAACTAAAACATTTGTGTTATGGAAATCGGAAACTGGTTGTAAATGGAAATGAATGGATATGGTAGTAACACTCAGGCCCGAGACAATATAGACAAGATAGTTTTTTTACATTCCGAGGATCCCGCCCAGGACCTCCGTCTCTTGACCACGGAGTTCACACATTAATTTACGATGCAAATTTCTTATAACTTGTTAATTAAGTGTTGTATTCTTTGTGTATACTTCTTTAAGAATTTCAATTGTTTTTTAATTATTATCGATCTACTGCAGACGTGTGAGTCTTCTGAGACGTCCTAAATAAAGTCCAGGTCTTAAGTACTCTTAATGAGCTTGTATAAAAGTATTGTTAAGGCGAACGATGTGAGTGAGGATCGTAGCAAGTGGAAAGCTGTGGTATTTGTCTACCTCTGATGGGAAAAGTCAAAAGTCTTTTAAAAACTTCCTTAATGTGCCAGACAGGCGCAATTCCCTGATCTATGAAGGCGGAACCCGTAGACCAGAACCAATTCACAAAAATGTTTTCCGAAATTCTTCCTACCGGGAATCAACCTCTCTCCTCATTCAGCGCCTACTCAGCAAACCGTTGGGTCACCGAGGTTATTAAAAATTCGCAGACATGTTTTATTTCATCCTGATCACACCATCGTTTCGAACTTCATCCTCTAGGCGGTTTACCCTCCAGCCTGCCCATAACAATCACTCTCTCAAGGCTATCAGCGCTTCTGCGTGCAATGTGACCAATGACTTGTAGAATACGGAGCAAAAAGACGGAGGTTAGCAAACTGCCTCTGTGGCCGAACGATTACCATGCTGGTCTGCCACGCAGAGGTCCCGGGTTCTATTCCCGTGCCGGGAGAAATATTTGTATGGCCTCCATTTATTTCTCTCGTGAGTTTGGGTGTAATTTGTGGTTGTCTATGTGTGTGTCCATGGCATTCGCGATACTAGTACATATTTGATTGCCATTAAATTAAATCTTTAAATCTACTTAAAATAAGACACAAAATTTACAAGAAGTTAGAAGGAAGAAAAGTGTATTGTTAGATTATACCAACTCATTCACTTCGTCTTATTGGAGAGTCCTTGAGGTAGTAGTAACTCACACTGTAGTAGCATGCATTTATAAAGAGAATCTTAAATTAGGTTTTGAATACGTTGTCATTTTTTTTGTTTCTAAATTGAAAATAAATGTTTGGAAATATTTTTATTTTGAGTGATTAAAACTAGTCACGTATGAGATTTCATAATATAAAGGAAATTGTGCTTGTCAGCCATTAGTCTGGATAACAAACTGTAATACGTTTTAGTACGTCGACGCAAGGAACAGGGAGATGTTTTTATGATCATTAGTTCAAACTTTTTTACTTCCTGAAAAAGAAGTTTAGCTTAATAGGCCCCATTAATTTCACGTGAGAAAGCCTATTCCTGAAAATTAGGTAACTTTCGAACATCGAGTTTATAACCAGAAATAGAGACGAAATAAGGGCCATATATTCCTTGTAACACATTAGCAATACAGCTCTTATAAATATCAACACTCGTTTGCACTAAAATATATACAGGCCAACTGACCTGTGTGTACGTCTCCGTATATTCCAAAAAATATTCTGTGTTTATTGTAATAAAGATAATATCTCTAACAATTGGGGGCTGGTCAATTAGGTGTTGTGGGAATAGCAGGAAAACATCTAATTACAAAACAAACGGAATCACATTTCATCGGTAAGAAAATATTAAATATATAATTTAGAAATTTTCGTCCATTATAGCAAACCTCAAGTTAACTGGTCGATTTGAAGTGAAACAGTTGACGACACCCGTCAATTGTTTCGAACTCGGGCTGGCCAATCGGAGCGCAGTTGTCGCAGTAATGATATGGCAGAATGGTTTTCAAACAAATTAAATGACATTTCGTCTCTATTTCTGGTTATATACTCGATGCTTTCGAACGATAAAAAGATGCTAAAAAGTGTGCGTAAATTTGTGTTTTTTTGCATTTTATTTTGTCGTATTTTGTGTATTACGAGGTTTATTTCGGACTTAAGGCGAAATTCTGCTTCACGCCAAAAATCTTCTTGGTACAATTCACAAAAACAGGTCCATTGAATCGGGAAAATCAATGTACAATATCGTCGTAATATGTTTTTTTAGCCCCAAGGACATCACATTTCTCAGGCAGTACCAGAGCATCATTAAGAATAATGTATAAGATTATTATTATTATATGTATATATATATTATTATTATGAGGAATAAAAATTAATTGGCTATTCATGACAGTCGTGTTCACAAAGTCACAAATTTATTTGAGGGTCAATTTAGGTACACGGTTCTACAATACGATTCCGGTTGATATTAAAATATTGTCATTTACGAGGCTTAAAAGCTTCTGTCTGCTCGGATGAGCGAACGTTTGATTCGAGTAGTCTTAGAAGGGTACTTTTCTCCTCGGGATTTCGTACTGTCTGCAACTCTCTTCCGCTGCATATCAATGATATGTTAATTCCAGGTACGATTGCGTATTCTGATGACAGCACGGTTGTAGATGACCAATGCAAGGGTCAGTGAAGAAGAAATCCAGTCTTGTCGAAAGTCTATGGTTAGCAGTTTGGAATCTTATCGAGTTCTTAGGTTTTCGCGATTGTTACACATAGGAAATGAAACTATTTTTCCGGATTTAAATCATCTTTTGAGTGTTTTCTTTGTAAAATTAAAAATAAGGTATTTAATTAATAACTATTGTAACTATAGTGAAAAAATAGGGTAGTTTGCATTAATATTAGACATAACTGGTTGAAGACTGTACCACCTCAGTCAACCGTGACCATGGGACCTGTAAAGGGCCCGAAACGTCGGTTTGTTTGAAAAAACAAATATACGCGATTTAAATCCGGAAAAATAGTTTCATTTCTTAGTTTGGAATCTTGTTAAATTTAATGGTACCAAAACTAAAACAAACGTGTCTATTCTCGACAAAACAAAGTCCCTTTGAGCTGACTCCAACTTTTCGTGATATATCCATACCGATAGCCGACCGTCTCAAGCTACTTGGAATGAACCTGTCGTCCAATTTGAATTTCGGTAGATACATTGAATCCATGGCCAAAAATGATGCAAGGAAGCTTTGTATCCTTTCCAGAGTGAGGCGTTACTTTACACTGGGACTGTTTCTTCAGCTGTACAGCTGAACGTTATAACTTGGGCCTTTTTAAGGCGAGAGTAAATAGACATTATTTAGGTGTGCATACTCCATCGTCGACCTCATCGTCACTTTCCATCAGGTGAGATGCGCACTTACATTTGAAAAAAAAAATTACAAAAATCCATGATAGTAAACTGTTTAGCGCTTGTAGGTAGTCGTGATCTTGAAAAATAAACACGGGACGTTCTGTTGCTTACATATTTACTCGTTTTGTTTGATCGCACGTGTCACACGGTAAAAAATGGAGCAAATTTGTAGGCACCTTTAGTTCTACCGAATTCTATAGCCAATAAGTATACGTTGGGCGCACTATAAGTTTCCGGAATGAATAAGAAAAAAATACTATAAATGGTCAGAAATGAATTTATTGTTTCTCAAAATATTCTCCGTTAGCGTAAATGCATTTTTTCATACGAATGAATCAATTTTGAAAACATTTATGCCACTCCTCGGTGACAATCTCTACAACATATTTTTCATACTCTTCGACAACCTCTTCGGGTGATGAAAATCGTTGACCGCGTAACTGGTTCTTAATTTATGGAAATAAATAACAGTTACGAGGTGCCATGTCGGGACAGTATGCGGGATGACTTATAAGGTCAACGTTGTTTACCTTCAAAAATTCATTTGTCTGTCTCGCTGTGTGAGAACTGCCATTATCGTGGTGCAAGATGATACGGCGTTTACGGTTATTTTAACGGAGTTTGTCAATAACTTCCGGCAAACAAATGGTCGTGTACCAATCGCTATTCACGGTACAACGATTTCCAAAGCAACAGTAGCCACGTGTCCAGTTTTATTAAAAAAAGAAGCGATCATCTTAGAGGCACTTTGTACGCGCGCCACTTTAGTTGGTTTCGGCTCGTCTCGAAAGACCCATACGCTCGATTGCTGCTTTGTTTTGAGATCGTAACTATAAATCCATGTTTCGTCACCTATTACTATGTTGCACACCAAATTTGACGCCCCTTCGTTGAATCTGGTAAGCATGGCATTGCACCAAGTGACGCGATCCGTTTTTTGAGCCTCAGTCAAATTGTGTGGAATCCACCGAGAGCACAGCTTTTTCACACCCAAAGTTTGTGTAGTATTGATTGTATTTGACTATACCTAAACATGCCCGAATCTTATGGTATGTCACATGCCTGTCTATTTTGATCATATGGTGCACAATATCGTATCGATGTGTTTGTTGTTCACAGCAGTAGACGGGCGACCTTCACGAAATTCGTCACTGAGATTCACACGGCCGCGTTTGAATTCTGCAAACCAGCTATAAATAGTCGTCTTGCATGGTGCTTTATTGCCTAAGCAGTTTGAAGCCGAGCAAAGCTCCGCTGAGCTTTTTAATTACACTTAAAGTCTTAGAAAATCATACTTTTTCTCGAGTTAAATCCATGGTGATGTAGAAAACCAATTTCTAAAATGACGCCACAATGTAATAACAAGTGACAGTCAGATGAAACAAACTGTATTCTTTAGCCAAAGAGTTCTATTTTCAAATGTTGTAATTACTTTTTAAATATTGTTTATGTAAGTGGCCAGTTCCGGAAAGTTATAGTGCGCCCTATGTATAAACGTGTCTCAAATAAACTATAAAATCCTTTAATTGAAAAATGGCTAACGGGGAACAAAACAACTTTTGTACAGGATTCCTTAGAACTAATTCCCTGAACTATTACGAACTTTCTCGGAGCAAGCAATCTCGGTGATACTCGAATGTCTTCTAAGTAGGTGTAAGACAATCAAAATCGCTTTGTGAACAACAAAAGGAGCATTGCTCACAGATTGTTAAGGTAAGAACCTTGAATTGAAAATGGGCTTATTGCCTTCGCTTCTGCTTTTGATCACATTTATAATTAATGTAATTTTATATAGTTCTATATAAAGTATAGTTGAGTTCCGGGTTTGAAGGGTATGAAAGCTTGAAACAGGCACATGGAACTTGTCAATTTTATATTTCAGAGTGACAAACGCCGCAGTGGCAGTGCCTTTCCAATTTAGAGCCCTGAGTGGGACTGCAACTAATTATGAACAGGCGTGTCCTTACCACCAGACTTATGACTTGTTCATCCCGTTACTTCATCCGCTCACGCGATGCGCTCCTCCTACCGCAAAATGGCGGCTATTTGGTTTCGCAAATTAGAAAAGGATTCAGCTTAAACAAATCCTGCACTTTAAAAGCACTAATGAAATTTTTGGTGTACTTGGATTAATATGACAATATTCCGTTTGAGTGGTTCTAACGTTTACCATGAAATTACTCCTTAAAGTATAGTTTATAAACATTTATATTCAGGGTAAACTTAAAATACGCAACTTACGGTATGTTTTCAATAAATAAACACCGACATCACCAGCCCAAACAATAACACACACGATTGTCGTGACGTATTTTTGAAGTTGTTTATTTTTTTAAATGACAGACCCAGGCATTAAAAACTTTATGGTTTGCTAGAGTAGTTACCGAAATAGCAATTAATATTAGTTCTTTTACCTGTTATAACTTCGATATCCGATAAATCGGTATAAAATCATCACCTCTAGGTGTGGTATGCGTCTACGACTGCATGTAACGCGTGAGCGGTTAAATTATAAAAAAATAGTCCTACTGTTGGGCACAGGCCGTCTCCACAATGGGAGATCTTGTTCTATAGTTCTGACGTGGGCTCAGTGCGAATTGCGAACCTCACAAACAGCATTAAATTGATTTGCAGATGTGTGCAAATCTGCAACTATTTTTTGTTTTCTTTCACCGAAAAGCTCATGGTAAATTTCAAATTAAACATCGCACATAAATTCCTTGTTTTTGATGCAGATCTTTATTATAGTATCGGACAGTATTTGTTGGAAGACGTTGGTTCGAATCCAGCTGGATTGAAGAAATTTTTTCTTAGTGTTCGATCTTTGTATTAATAATTATTACAAACTAGTGAAATAATTTCACGAAAATAATTAAATATCATGCTGATCAAACATCGTGACAATAATCTAAAAAACTTAAAAATTCGATCTCAAACTGATAAGGACGTTGCACCCGACACGGGCAGATTAATGAGGTTGATGGGATTTAAAAAACGTATGTACTCAAGCAAATTACATTTTACCGCCTGGTAATATAGTTGGAATTCGTGGGAAATTTAACTTAATCGTATTTTTAATAAGGAATATATTTATGAGTACAACCAATCTTTAGCTGATTTCCTAAGCAGCATCGTGTCGATCGTGATAGCAACGCCATTGTGCGATGTTAGAGATAGGATTGAGCGCGATCAATACAACTTTTAGCGTCACAGAGTACGCAAGACCAAACTATAAAATTTAAAATTTAAATATACCTAACATATTGTAATACGTGTTCGTTAAATAAATTATCTATTAAGAAAAACATTATTTTCAGTGTAAATAGGTAGAAGGCTGAGCATACAGGTAGATAACCTATCTTCTAAGGAATTGCCATTTAAAAGCAGCTTTGTAGTATTAGAGCTTCTTGTGAAAGAGTTCGTCCAAGGAAGTATTTCTGCTGCCAAGCAGTAATGCGAGAGTAATATAATTTACTGCGTTCCGGTTTTGAACGGTGGGTGCTGGCGAAATTACAGGCACATGAGACTTATCAACTTATGTCTCAGGGTGACAGGCGGAGTGGCAGTGCCTCTCACAGAGAGTCACGGCAACTGTTATAGACTGCCGTGTCGCTTATCATCAGGCGCACGACATGTTCGTCCTGTAACTTGTCGTCATTAAAAAAGTTTCGTAATTTGACGACTTCCGTGGTCGAGTGGTGTGTGCGCCGGTTTTTATAGTGTCGCCATCCGTTGTTTACTATTTCCATAACACCTAACATCACACATAAAAGCACTTGCTTCTACTACTTAGGGATCACAACGACGTATATGATGTTGTCTCATTACAGACTTTGAAATTAACTATTTTATTTTTCAGACATATTTGTTATTATTTCACTGTTATTATTTGACTACTAAACTCGATTATTTTGTACCACGCAGGGTATGCACTATCTACATGGCACGGATATACGATCTCATGGGGCTCTTAAATCAAGCAACTGTGTTGTCGATTCTCGTTTTGTGTTGAAAATAACCGATTTCGGGTTACACGCACTTCGCACTAGCGAGAAGGACTGTAGGGCTCATAACTACTGGACACGTGAGTAATCTTTTTTTTTTTTTTCAATTGTCATCGTCCCTTAAAATATCATTCCATCAATACATCGAAATTGATATTTCTCAGAATATTTTGTGAGTTCGAAGGGTTTTAAGTTGTGCACCCTTCATGTAATAGAGAGAGATTTATAGATTCAGGTCCGTTCGTTATGCCCCCTGTTTGTGATACCCTCATGGTGTATGCCCACCATTTTGGTTAGGTACGATAAATGTTATTCAAATCTATTTTTTAATAAAATGTACTGGCAGACACAAAAATGCTTTTACAAAAACAAAAAAAAAATACTAATAAAAAGTAGTAATAAATAACTTTGAAATAGCATGAACTTAATATAAAAAACTTTTTAGTACACTTGATCAATAAGCACAAGTCACACTTATTTGAATCCTTTATTTATATAGTAACATCAAGACAATATCAAAACAATTATTTAAATCAAAATAAGTTTTTTTAAGGTTCGTAATCAACTAACGTTCAATTCAAACAAAAATTCAAACAAAAATACCTAGTTATATACAAACTGTTTTAACGAAATTATAACTATTATAAACATGCAAAATTATTACGAAATTAGAGAACAAATTGACCGTTCACATTAACAAACGTTGAACATGCAAAATAGTCTTCTTTTTACTACAAGTACCTAATATAATCACCGTTTTCGCTTAATTACAAAAAACGCACGCATTTTTACCGAAATCGCAATGACAGAATTTTCTTTTTCATATTCTTCAGTTATTAAATTCAGAAACATTTTAGTTGCTAACAGTACCTACTTAATGCAAATAGACTAGATATCTGACAAAAATGTTTATCCAAAATTTTTTACAATCGTATGCCCCAGACTTAGTTTAAAATCGTATGACACCACGGGGGCATAACAAACCGGGGGCATAGGTAACGAACGGACCCAATGATACTAAGAACAAAATTAGTGGATAACTTTTTATGCTTAAACAGGAGAGTTATACAATTTCAAATAATATGAATATAGGTAATTTATTCCATGAAGTTGATAATAATTAGAGGAGTTTCATGTGATAAAAGAAATTTTAACATTTGGTCACATATGACTTGTTTATACCAAAGACACGACGACTTATCATTATTTCTTCGAAGGTAATGGACAATACTTAACCAGTGATGGCAAAGATGCTCCATTACAGTTAAACTGAATAAGTTTCAGTAATTAAAAAACAAAATACATAGTTACAAGTACATAATACGCTTAAAGGTAGATAGATACACGCGAACCTGGAACAGCAAAACATTTTGAAATTAATATTTTATGTAACTTTTTTTGTAAAAAAAACCGATTTCAACAGTTTGTGGAATTACATTTCTTTGCCAACTTTTGTTAAAATCGGTTACCGGAAATTACGCGAAACCGGATCCATACCCTAGTTTGCCACCTTTAGAGATGAAATATATTCTTCAAATTTACATAAATTTACCCTCAATCCAACAAAAAAGAATCATCGAAATCGGTTCACAAATACCGGAATAATCGCGTAACATGCACAAAAAATACAGTCAAATTGAAAACCTCCTCCTTTTTTTGAAGTCGGTTAAATAGATGTTAGTAAAAAATATTTAAAAATTGTACGGTGAACACGCAGGTCTGCTTTGGACTGGTCCTGAACTCCTGCGTATGTCAGAGCCTCCGCCAGAAGGTACCCAGAAGGGCGATGTGTACTCCTTTGGGATCATAATGCATGAAATTGTCAACCGCCAGGGTGTGTTCTGGCTCGGACCCGGCATCGAGATGCCACCTAAAGGTATGTACAACTTTATGTAAAATACGTACGAAATTGTGTACTATACAATCAATGTATGATTTGTCAAGTGAAAAGTTTATTACCCGCAATATTTTCTACCCATTTGTTCCTTTCTCTGACTTAGCTGTTCCTTTTTCGGTCACACAATTGGATAAAAATTACTTGTTTTGAAAATGGCAAATATAAAGTACTTAATCGTCATTGCCGATCATCAATAGCGGTACAAACTCATAATATTAATGTCGGCCACTCACTGCTTTTGAGGAATGTTTTAAAAAACCGAATTATTACGTTGATATCTTTTCATCTATTGTATTATTTTTACTGCTCTGAATGTAGACATGGCCTCTTTGCTTCTTTATATAGAAAAACATTGCACAAAAAGCCCTAGTTTTATATCCAGAAAGTGCGCGAGTAAAATATAAGTGAGTATTTGACCTCCATCTCACCTGATGGAAAGTGACGAGGAGGTCGACGATGTAGCATGCACACCTAAATAATGCCTTTACACTCGCGCCTTCAAAAGGTTCCAAGATATAGCGTTCGGGAAATAAGATCGCAGGCAGGGAATTGCACTCTCTGGCTGGTCGCCATATAACTGTGGTGCGAATCCTGGGAACATCCACAACATAGGGGTGGAGCCCCAGCCCACCCCTAGTCCCCCGTTGATGGAAAGGTGAAGGCGGAATCAAATTATGCAATTCCATCGCACGCGCTCCGTAATATATCCTGTAGAATATGTTTTTGTTTTTTAGTTTTCATTATAAAATCCTGGACAAAATACGTTCCTTATTATCCCAAAGGGTTTTCAATTTCTTCCCCTTTATTTTTTTATATAAAACCCACTACGCAAGCATCTCTCCAACACAGAAAAAGTTTTTAGCTAATTTTCTGATCTTATAAGTCGCAATTTGTTCAACTTCAGCTCCAATATATAATTTTTTACCATGGTTCTTTGCTAACGCATTTGCTGGGGCATTAGTTTTTTCTCGTCAGAGTTTAGCTTGATCCGTGCCTTGATTGCTCTCACAACAGCTGGAATCCCAATGGATTGAGATCGGACAGTTTCGCTTTGTAGTTGGATGGAAAGAATAGGAACGATAAACGACTCCTAGTAAACTGTTCAAGTACCACGCAACGCTATTACAATCAAGGCGTCTTATTTTTGAGTCCACTGGGTTATTTAAAAAAAAAGAAAAAATATTATATAGAGAAGTGAAAAATGCGGTCTCGAAAATCACGAGAAAAACGGAAAGTCCACACTTTCAATTTAGTTCTCTACTAACTTAAACTTTAAAATTTTATAAAATTTTATTTCATTTTCGTAGTGAACACGTAAGAAATTCGTTTTTTACAGCATTTAATATAGTTTCAGATAGAGGGGACCTGATTTTGTTACGATCGTTCTCCAATCTCCATTAAACTATGGACTAAGCTCTACTGTGCAGTGTTGCCACGTCTGTGAAACTAGAATAAAAAGTGACTGTTGATTTAATCTGAAACTCTATCTGAGAATGCCAAAAGATATTCCAGACTCGTAAAATTTACGAGACTGAGATTTAGGGGAAGTAAGCTATAATCCCAACTATCAAATTAATCTTATGACTTTAGGGCTTGTACAGTACAGTAACAATCTTGTAGTTGTTGCCGGTTATTCTCGGACTAGTGTTCACTATCTAATTTCCGTGCAATTTTTTATTAAAGTATTCGATTTTTTATCGTGCAATATTATTTAATATTCGAGTACCGTATCGTGAAATATTATTTAATAATGACACGATAATATACTTGAATATTTAAATAATAACAATGGTCACGGAAAGATAGTGAACACTAGTCCAAGAATGATCATGACAGCATTCATTATTTCGATGTATCTATGAGGTATGGCTCGTTGTAAGGTTTTAAGGCGATGTTTAGGCTTATTTAGCTTTTATTCTTATAATTTGGCTGTACAAACTTATAATACACAAATAATATGACTACCTGCAATAAAGTCTAAATAAATACAACAGTATATTTTTTTAAACTTGTACACTTGTAAAGTTAACTATTTCTTATTTACCATATAATATTTAAAGATATATAAAAGTCTTTGTAAAGAGTAATTAATCATAAAATAGAAGTCGGCTAGGTAAAATCAAGCTACAAATTTTATATAAGTTCATAAAGTATTTTATTCTTGAGTTTATATAAAATACAATAATATTCAATTATTTCACTATGAATTGCCCTTTTTTTTATTTTTTGCGCACACCCTTTTAGCCCCGCACTAGGGAAACCCTGTGTCGCTGGCAGAAACTTGTATATTAAACTGGACCGCGCACTAAGTTAATAAAACGAGCCGAGTGAGAGGCTTCAATGTAGTAATGCATCTCTTTCTAATAGGGTGTTCATTCATTTTTCAGCCAGCCATAATTATTGTTTTTAACTTTGTAGTTTTTACTGAAAAATGTGGCCGCTTATGGGTGACTAAAACTATTAATATTACTTCATGATAGAAGGTTTCATTGTTGATATATTTTTTTGTATTATTACAGTAAAAGCATATTACCTTTAAGCAAATACATATATATAAAACTTAAAAAAGTTAATAGACTAGACACTACCTAAGAAGATTGTATTTAGCGTTGGCAACTTGTTAGACAAGGACAGACCACTACTTCCAGCTATCTCACGTGTCTCGGTTTTTTACTTTTACTTAAAATATACCTTAACGTAATCCTTTAAGGTGTAAATTTGTAATATTGGTATATCGAAGTGAGCGATCCAGTTTATGAACTCATATAGATAACCACAAATTACACCCAAACTCACAAGAGAAACAAATGTAGATCATACACATATTTCTCGTCGAACCCGGCACCTCTGCGTGACAGGCCAGCATAGTAACTGTTCGGCCACCGAGGCAGTCATTATTACTTAACGTACTCAAATAAAACAAGGAGATTGTTCTTTTTAAACGATGTTAATATGAAAATCTTACATATAGGATTCTTCTAAATAGCTTACGTATTGCTATTTTAAAGCTGCTGTCTGTTGCATATACTTCTTGCCAATAATACTTACAAGACAAAGGTAATGGTTTTTGAAAGAGAGGAAGATATGATGATTTGCACGATATTGATTGAAGGAGAGAAAGTGGATTAAGTGAAAGAGTTTGTGTATTTGGGTTCTACGTTTACGTGTAATGGAAAATGTGAAAGAGACATTGAAAGAAGAGTGAACGCAGGGAATCAGGTGAATGGTGCGTTGCATACCTTTATGGGCAGCCAGAAAGTGTCTAAAAAGGCACGATTTACTGTGCATGGGGGGGGGTGCTGGTTCCTACACTTATGTATGGTAGTGAATGTTGGGTTTGGCAGAAGAAGCATGAAAGTAGAATTAATGCAGTAGAAATGAGAGCTTTGAGGAGTATGGCTGGAGTGACTCGGATGGATAAATTAAAGGCGTGAAGTATATGTATGTATGTGTAATACTTACATAAGAATGATTTAAGCATGTAATAAACGAACAATAATGGCATGTATAAGATTTAAGCACTTCTAAGTAGTGTCCAAATCCACATTTATAAATGATAAGTTTTTGCTAATATAAATGAGTGGGGATCATGTTTGTCTCCCACTAGGGTAGGCATACAATTGACCTTTTACTAGCTATACTCCCGTTTATTCTTTGGGTCTACTCATTCATTTCGCACTAGCCGGTTAATTTTTGTACATCTATTCGAAATTTGAAATATAATCTGGTTTAAGCATTGACTTACAATTATATGGACGTCGGGTCCGCGCGTTAAAATCGTATACAGAGCGTCATTCACTTTAGTCTTCGTTTGTTCGACTGACAGCGAAGCAAGCAAAATTAGACAGTACTGCGATGACATTACAATTTAAATTCAACGTTTTAGCTTTTTCATATTCCTTTACATGTCACTACGTTTAAATAGGTTGACTTGTGACATTTTTTTCGTGGTTTTTGTATTAGACCCGTCGTCCATTTATTTGTAAGTCAATGGGTTTAAGACATTTATTCTCACTAATAATAAGAATAAATAAATTATTTATTTGACAACTAAAACACACTTGTTAGTAAATACAGAAAATTTTAACTTATGACAACTTTAACTTAAAACATAAAACACACATTATTAAGCTCGAGGCGCCGACTACCCCATCACAAGGATGAAATGACGAAGCATCTGATTTAGCCGCAAACGTTTTTAGAATGCTGTTAGGACTAGAACGCAGTCTGGAGAGTAGTGAGGCCGTCTTTTTCGCATCACAGCAAAAAAGTCTTAAATTACAATAATTACAAGTTTACACTTACATGAGAACACAGAGAAACATATTACAATATTTTATTTTTTTAGATAGCGTACAAGGACGGTTGTTCAACGATAAAATAAGCAAGTTGTGCCCGCATTGTAATATAACAACAGACAATACGATTTCAAGTGCTAACTATTAGCGCAAGCACGGCTCAATTCACAGACTACGCTCACTACGCTAATACCAGATGAGACTTATTTATTATATTAATTTTATTGCCGTTTAATTTTTGCCAAAAATATTAAAACAAAAATAATAATAATAACGCACACACTCAACATAGCCCCGCACTAGGGAAACCCTGTGTCGCGGGTGCCATGGACACATACATAGACAACCACAAATTACACCCAAACACAGGAGAGAAATAAATGTAGGCCATATAAATATTTCCTAGAACCTGGGAATATAGAACCTGGAACTCCTGCGTGGCATTGGCATAGTAAACGTTCGGCTACGGAGGCAGTTATGATGATAAAAAGTATTTACTTGCAGGTAGTATGTTTACTTTTCTCTTACTAGTACTTTTTTTTAAATATTTTTTATTATTTTTTTATTTATTATTCATTCATCCTCCACTAGTTTGTTATTGTTATTTATACGAAGATCGAACAACATAAAGAAAAAATCTTTCGATTTCACTGGACGGGAACCTCGTCTGTTGCCACACCAGGACCGCTTTTCTTAACAACTGAGTTACAGACCGAGTCTCCGTGCATGTCGCAGATATTTAATAATAAACTACAATTTTCATAAAAAATATATTTATAAATGTCGTGGTAATAAAAAATGTCGTGATATTCAATAAAACAAATATTTCGAAATATAAGAGCTGTGTGACATGATTAAAGAACTACCTAGGTACAGTTTTAGATTTCATAATGTCATCTATCAGTAATTTGATTGTATTGTACTTTAAAGTTAATATTTATTCCAATCTTAGCTTATAAATTGGCCTTTCCGTGTAGACGTATTATTACCTAATTAGACATAATTACCACCGGAGGCGCCATGCCCGACCGGAATATCTGATGCCATTAATCATAGTCAAGTGGCTGCCATATTTGACAATGATTATGACGTTGACGGTCAGTTTAAGCTTTCAGTTTGATCTTTGCCATTTCTATTATAATGTTGTTATTCGGTATCGGTGTCGTAATGCTAACTCGTAAGTTATATAGAAGATCATAGTTATTAAACGCACTTGCGAGTAAATAATGCGCAGCGAAATTGTGACTTGCGAATGTTATGATTTTTTGTCCTCATTTGGAAATAGTCACGCTTGTTTATTCATTTCATGCAGAGATAATCGAAACGATCATAGCAAGCGGCCTTCGCCCGAACACGACGCACTACCGTTCTTGCGAGGCAGACGAAGCTACTGAACTCATGCGCCGTTGCTGGGCAGAGGACCCCGGCGAGAGACCAGACTTCGGATACTTGAAGGGAGCCATTCGTCGACTCAACAAGTAATATTTACGTATTCTCTACACGTTATGCGAAAAATAAATATTCCAGTCATCTGGTATATTACGATGTATGTTGTGCTTATTGCGAAAAATATAAAAAAGAATGGAGACTCAGGACTCAGACTATAGAGAATTAGGGTTGTCAAAAATATTTTACGATTTAGTTTCGACTACGACCAATGATTTCTACGGATTAAGTGTTTATTATTTTATTAATCTTCCTTAAGGTTGCCGTTTGTTTTATCTTCACGAAAGCGATAAGAATATAATTGATATCATTTTATGCATTTTGTTTTGTTAGTAATCAGAGATTGTGCTTTGGCGAAATTGCTTAGCGAGTTATCTGACATTTTTTGGATGTTTTTGAAACTTCGCGATAAAACTTAGGACTTAGACGCTATTTCCTGAAAGTAATTTTTTTTTGACAGATCTCAAGAAAGCAGCAACATATTGGACAATTTGCTGTCTCGTATGGAGCAGTACGCTAATAATTTGGAGACATTAGTCGACGAGCGTACTCAAGATTATTTGGAGGAGAAGAAGAAATGTGAAGAACTTCTCTATCAGTTGTTGCCCAAGTAAGCTTTTGAGTAAACTATAATATTAAGTATCTTCTAGAGTTAGAAGGCTCTGGACACAGCTATGCTCGGGGTTTCTTTACGAGATCGAATCAGGAATGAGTATATCGCAAAAGAACTAGAGCAAACGTCATAGATCAAACAATTGTTAAACTTAAGTGGCGGTGGTTAAGAGCTGAAGTTAAGAGCTGAAGACTTTTTTAAGATGGGCGCGAATGACGAAGCGTGAGCAGATCACCAACAAGGACTAGGGATCTGGTAAAGGTTGAGCGAATCCTCTGGCTTTTGTCCAACCATGAGTCTTTTTCCGGTCACAATGATGATGATAACCATTACCAGAGACTAGTAGAAGTAGTTTTACGTAGGAAATCCTCATGGATACCTTTCGCCCGGGGAGACGAACGGTTATCTCGGACTCGTACCGATTAAAATCTGACGGTACCTCGCCTCGTCTCGTCGCTTTTTTTGGGAACGCAATACTACCTCGAATTCACCGACAACCGCCGCCGTCTCTGGCACCACCATAGGAAACTACTACGAGAGTCTCCCGCTACGTACCGAAACACAGTGCATGTCATCCAGCCTCGAGGACCTATCTCCGTTCGAGCATCGAATGTCTCAGTATACGATGCTCGGAGGCCCTCGTTATGGAGCCTAATCCTCTCACGACGTATCGGATGAGAAAACACATCGTCGTCCCTTATCCGTTCCATCGTTTCTTTCGCCCCTATCACTGCAGCGCAAAATGTGTAAACTACTTCCCGTGTTCTGTCGGTGTCGACTATAGATTTGACTACGGTCGGCAGCGACAGGTCTCCCCAACCACAGAGATCGTGGTTGCCCTCATTTCACCCCACATTGGACATTCCGCCGTTCTGACCCATTTCTCCAAAACGGGTCAGAACGTTTCCACTGTTCGATGGCCAGCACTTCTCTCCTTCCACTTTTGGAGGAGTGCCATGCGCGAGTTTTCTTTCGATCGTCTTTTCTCTTCTGGAAATGGCCGCTCTCTCAAACGCGTATACTCTGCGCTCTGCCGATAAACATCTGCTAGCATCTCCGCCTCAAGCTCCAGAGACTAGCCGCTCACGTGATACATGCAGCCGTAGACGCATACTGTGGTAATTCAAATATAAGCTGATATGTCTTCTCGTCTTCGTTTTGAACAGATGCGAATAATAAAGGCACAACTTTCAATGTATTAGCCGCTCACGCGATACATGCAGCCGTAGACGCATACCACACCTAGAGGTGCCGGTGATGATTTTATACCGATTTATCGGATATCGAAGTTATAACAGGTAAAAGAACTAATATTAATTGCTATTTCGGTAACTACTCTAGCAAACCATAAAGTTTTTAATGCCTGGATCTGTCATTTAAAAAAATAAATAACTTCAAAAGTACGTCACGACAATCGTGTGTGTTATTGTTTGGGCTGGTGATTTCGGTGTTTATTTATTGGAAACATACCGTAAGTAGCGTTTTTTAAGTTTACCCTGAATATAAATGTTTATAAACTATACTTTAAGGAGTAATTTCATGGTAAACGTTAGAACCACTCAAACGGAATATTATCATATTTACCCAAGTACACCAAAAATTTCATTAGTGTTTTTTAAGTGCAGGATTTGCGGTGTATTACTGCATTTTATTTGATATGTTTTTGTGGGTAGTACGGAGGGTATTTATTTAGCAATACAGAATAATAATTTTTATTTATAAAAACTTGTATTCAAACTGAATGCTTTTCTAATTTTCTAAATTTGCGAAACCAAATAGCCGCCATTTTGCGGTAGGAGGAGCGCATCGCGTGAGCGGCTAGTAACTGCAATAAGTTATACTTAGCCGTTATAATAACTGCGTTACGGTTTGTATTAAATTGTACTTTCCAAATTTGACTTTCTTATGTTTTCGCACTAGGTCAGTGGCATCGCAACTAATCAACGGTCTATCAGTGGTAGCTGAGACATTCGAGCAAGTTACCATTTACTTCTCCGACATCGTGGGATTCACTGCTCTCTCCGCTACATCCACTCCTATGCAAGTTGTAGACCTACTCAATGATCTCTATACCTGTTTCGACTCCATCGTGGAAAACTACGACGTTTACAAGGTGAGGTTTATTTAAATAACTCTCATTTCTGAATCTTTGTCGATAGGTAGGTTGCAAGGTAGTTGGTACGGCCAACCAATTTCTAATGGTGCATCTATTTCTGTTTGATAGTGTACATGTTGTAGGTATTACCCAAGGTGTTAAAAAGGAATTGTCGTAATGTTATTTAACTGACGTAAGCTTTTAACTATACTCCATAATGGGTACGTATTCTGTCTGCTTTACGTGCAATAAAAGCTGCGGCAGTGAGAAATGAAGTCTTAAACAATGCATATACTGCCTCAGTATAATGTCAACGATGTGTATGGAGAATATTAAAATCAGGAGGCTATGTATGTATCTGCAAGTATAATATCATTATATATTCCACGTTCTCTCATATACAGAGTGGAAATTTGAGTTAGGGTCAATAAGACCAGCTAACCGTCTTAACTAAAAACATACTGACATCGAGCGATTTTGAAGAAATGGTACAGTCAGCAAGATAAAATCTCGTATATAGTAAGGATTAAAAGTCTCTATGGGACCAACTAAAGTTACTCTTACATCAAGAAATGTTAGTAATCGCAAAAAATAACTTTTTCTACGTTTTTTCATCGTGGCGTATGTATAAATGTAAAAATTGAAAAGTACACTTACAACAATTTCAATGGTATCACTAATAAAAATGGAATACTTGCTCTTCGCGGAAAATAGCTAATAATGTTTCCATTGAGGCGGCTATTGATTTAAAGCACTTATGATTGTAGATATTTATCATTTCGTTATTGTTCTTAATTTGAAACACATATACTTTTTTTTTTTTTTTTAAATAACGCACACACTCAACATAGCCCCGCACTAGGGAAACCCTGTGTCGCGGGTGCCATGGACACACAGATACACAACCACAAGTTACACCCAAACTCACGAGAGAAATAAATGTAAGCCATACAAACATTTCTCCCGGCCCGGGAATCGAACCTGGGACCTCTGCGTGGCAGTCCGGCATGGTAACCGTTCGGCCACGGAGGCAGTTAAAATATAATACTATTAAATATCTCTACGAAATTTACAAAGGTAAAAGGTTTTTGAGATTTCTGATATTTCTACCACGCTTATCTCAGTTGGTAACCTTTGATCCTCATCAGAACAGAATTGAATTTTTGATAAATAAGTTACGCAAAAATTTTTTTTTATCTTGCTGACCGTATCACTATTCCAAATCTGTGAATGCCTAACGAAATTCAAAATTTATGGACAGTCTTACATAGATAGCTAGCTATCTTACTAATTCGTCTTATATTTCCACATTGTGTACCCTGTATCCCATGTTCGTCAAAACATAATTTTTAAAAGGTGTAGAGCTACGAGAGCCTTCACATAAATCCTGAGAGCTATTGTAATAGCTGTTGTCTACATCGTGTTGTATATATATACATACAGACTGGATGTTATATAAGTACATATGTTTATTGATGTGGTAGCCATTGTCTTGTAGGCAGTTGCTATGTCACACCGCACATATGTGCTCAAGAAATAAAAGATTACGGGGCGATATTGCGGTAAAATACTTCAGTATGATAGATATATAACACGTTCACTGTTTTGCTACAAACCGCACAACAGTATAATAAGCAAAACGGAGAATAAAGAAAAGAAACATTGGGAGACAGAGGGAAGAAATAAAGAAAAGAAACATTGAATTCAGAAAAAATGTATTCTACCCTCCTTGTCATAAGTAACGCATTTAACCATTGGTTATTAAAAAAAAAACCTTCTTTGAGGAATGTCAATTACGCTCTTTTGCTTAACAATAAAACTTAAGAGTAGATGCAACCTGATGAAAACGAAAGGGAAATCACTTTGGAAAATAATATATATGGTGTGAAAACACGATTCGTAAAAATTTTCACGATAAAAAAAATCAGAAACTTACCTCGAAATTTTACTGGATTTTTTTTTATAACATCAAGTGACGGGATGAACAAGTCGTGCAACTAATAATAAAGCTACACGCCTGTCCATAACAGTTGCAGTTTAAACTGTTAGCGTTCGTAATCTACGATAATCCAAACTAATATTACTAATTACAATATTAATAATATTAATAATAACAATACAAACGTGTGATCGGCGATGTGCCGGTTGTCAAATAGCGTCCCCACCCCTCCCGTGCGTCTCAGTCCGCGCGTCTTTTGTCTAACCCAACTCGGAGCGAACGAGTTGTATAATTTTATTTATTATGTAATTACGTCACCACACTATAAACGCACACAGTAGGTATATATATATATATATAACTTCAATATAGCAAATATATATATATATATATATTTGCTATATTGAAGTACTTTTGCGATCTATAATATAACACACAGCATTAACACAACGTACAAAGAACACATACGCTATTATTTAAGTAGTTTATTTATTTTGCGACACACACGTCCGTCACTCATCTCAGCTCAGGGCTCATTGAAAACCAGCGCCACAGTCAATTGCGGCTGTGGCATAAGCTGAATGAAGTCCTTTTGCATACGCCACAACCGCACACATGACAGTACAACATTTGTAGTTGTTATATTTAGTATTTTTTGTTTTGCTCTTTGTTTGTTATTGTCTTATTTCATTTTATTTTAATTTTGTTTATTACGTCTTTTTGTTTTGTTTTGCTTGTCTAAGTAGTATCAATATTTTTTTTTGTATCTATGTGTTGTGGCGTTGCAATAAATGTCTATTCTATTCTAATTATTTTTCTGCTTGGCGGCAGAAATAGGTAAGGTGGCAGTACTACCCTGGACGGACTCTTTCACAAGGAGCCCTACTACTGCTAAAAACCGCTGTATTCAATAGGTTTACATATACCAATGATTCTTTTTTCATGTCGACTGAACTAAATAGAAAACGTATAGTATACGATATATAATTTTTTTTAAATCTTCAATTTCGTATGTAAAAAAATTAATTCCGAAATAAAGCCAATGTCCCAGCCACTCGACCTAAGCAAAATGACCTGTATTAGTACGGGAAAAGTTTTAATTAAATTTTAATTTTAATTTTTTTTTCCAGCTTTTTTTTTTAGTATCGACTCTAAACTAAATAAGATATAAAAAAACTGGATATAGGAGGTTGTACATCTCATTTCGTATGTTAATAACTCAATTTCGCTACAAATGTTGATTAGAATAAAATAGAATGGAATAGACATTTATTTCAACGCCACAAGTCACATATATAAAAAAGAAAATTATAACACAGACAAGCAAACAAAATAAATAAAATTAATAAACAAAATAAAAAATACAGTGAAACAAAAAGAAACATATAATAAGACAAAATTGACAAAAGCAAAAGAACAAAATATTACGACTGCAAATTTGTACTGTCATTTGTGCGGTTGTGGCGTACTCAAAAGAACTTCACTTTTCTTGGACATAAGCCACAACCGTAATTGATTGTGGCGCTGATTTTCAATGAGCCCTGGGGCCTTACCATGAACTCATATTACGATTCAGTTTAAGACCTAAAATGAATCCTTGTGAGACAGCGCTACGTGAAGTGTATATCACCATCCCGCTTTTTTGTCGTTACGAACCTATACTGAACTGTAATAATAGGAGTTCATGGTAAGGCCCCTGAGCCCAGATGAGTGACGAACGCGTGTTCGCGAAGTAAAATAACTTAAACTACTTGAATATTTGTGTATGTGTTCTTTGTACATTTAGATTACGTTAATTATGATAAGCAGGGAAGATTGATTTTATTATTTTTTTCTATTTCACTAATAATGCCGAGACCCTTGTTCGCTTGTATTTACTATTACTTTTTTGTTTGTATTTTACTTACCTCTTCTTTTTTAACTGGATTAAATAGCTTTTTTTTTAAGTTCTAATTTATCTACATTCATGTTGTTTTTGTAAGCTGTGTTTACTTGTAATTGGTTGTGTAATTAGATAAGATCTTCTATACCTACATTTAATTTTAGTAAGTAACATTGTAATAACTGTAAGTGAACCAATAAATAAATAAAAAAATAAAAAATTCCTTCCCCAAGTGCCGGAACAATCCAAACAGATCGTTCATGATTTTATGCCGAAGCAAAGCACTGTTTGCGCATTGCAGACGAAGCAGCTGTTCCCTCGGTTTTTAGCATAGTGTACGTTTAACCTAATTGCTTCTTTGTTTTTAGGTGGAAACCATAGGTGACGCTTACATGGTAGTGTCTGGTCTGCCGGAACGCAACGGGACTCGTCACGCGTGCGAGGTGGCACGCATGTCGCTCGCACTGCTGGATGCAGTCGGTCGTTTCCGCATTCGCCATCGGCCTAACGAACAACTGAAATTGAGAATTGGACTTCATTCGGGTATGTGTTATTTGATAATAAATAATAGTCAGCCCCATTGACTTACAATTATATGGACGTCGGGCCCGCACTAAAAAGTGTCCGAACTTATAGGACGTTAAAATCGTATACACAGCTTCATTCACGCTTCAGTCTTCGTTTGTTCGACTGACAGCGAAGCAAGCAAAACTAGCTAGTAGCTGTCTATATTTTTTGCATACCTTCGAGATAATACGTCGGGGAATACTTTATTCATGCCTTCGAGAGTCCGAGGAGGCTCAATGAGGGACTAATCCTCCAGTTAGCGTACCCACCTAACCCCCCCACGACAGCGGCTTATTTTCTCGGCCAGGTGTTGTAGTCAGGCCAGGTTTAGAATAAAAAAGCTCCTTGTGACAGAGTTTGACCAAGGAAGTATTGCCACCTTATATATTTCTGCCGCCAAACAGTAATGTTAGCATTACTACGTTCCGGTTTTGAAGGGTACAGGCACATAGAACTTTTCAATTTATGTCTCATGGTGATGGACACCGTGTCAGCGCTCCTCAGATTTTGCAATTTAAAGCTCCGAGTGGCACTGCAACTATTATGGACAGACGTGTCGCTGACCACAACTTAGTATCATAAAAAAAGGGTTCCCGCGCTGAAGAGTCCCCTCTTCAACCTTTTTTTTTGTTCGGTTCGTTGACCCCTCCCCCAGATGGGTGAGACCGTGCGATGCGGGCTGGGGACCAGGCGAGCAGCAAACTGGGTTTGCCCTGATCCCCGCCGCCTGCGCTGGAGTGGGTTCGCGTCGATTGCGCCTTCGCGCGTCTTCTACACGGCTTCCTTCAAGACCACGGCTATATTATATGAGTTATTGAATTCGCTCATTTACCCAGGTCAACACAGAAATTGTACATCACATTTTAAAAAGTGAATCGGTTATCAAAGCCAAGTTCAAAAATTCTGCGCCATCTCTAGCGAGTTCCTTTCAAATAAATAAACGGAACTCGCGCATTATTTATTAACGGTGCCTAGCCAGGAAATTGCAAATAAGTCCCTATCGCGCTTCGTGAGCATTACCTTAACGTATGTGTTTTTAAATCACGTTTTGTGGTAAGATGTGTCACGTGTATCCGTTACTAAGTAACCATACTTATTTAGTCTCATAATTAAATTTTGCTTACTTTGCATTATATAACATTTTGGCGACAAGGATGGGGTTGAACATAAAAGCTCCTCGAAGGTTCCAACGCAGACTTCTTATCCCATTTCCCAGTTAAAATTGCTAGAGAAAATACAATTGACCAACATTACGCATTTCAATGCAAACAAATTAATAACATCAGCAGTAGGTATGCCCTGACATCATAGCGAAAGAAACAAAAAATGACCCAGAATTACGAGCGTTACTTCAAAAATTTGAAACAGGACGTTCTTTACGAAATCAGGATACAAAGACTGCTAATTCACATTACAAAACTGATCATAAAGGTACTCGCGTCGTAACTTGCGTTCACGAATATTGGAAGAATTACATTCAGGATACATTGGGATTCTGAATGTGAAATTACTTGTTCAAAATAGCGTATATTGGAAAAACATTGACAATGATATAGAAAACAAAGTCAAATCTTGTCGAACTTGCCGCTTAGAACAAAACGAACGTACAAAAGCTCCACTGTACAGCTGGGAAACTCCAACAGGTCCATGGCAAAGAATCCACTTAGACTTCGCTGGACCTATATTCGGTCACCAGTTATTAATCATTGTAAATGCATTCTCCGAGTGGGTAGAAATCATACCGACAAAAACAACAAGCTCATTTTGCATTAAAAAATTAAAAGAGATTTTTTGCACATTTGGAACACCGTACATCTTAGTATCAGACAACGGCCGTGAATTTGTTTCATGAATTTAACAATTTCTTAACTTCAAACGGAATTGTCCACAAAACTTAAGCCCCTTACCATCCTGCTACAAATGGACAGGCGGAGCGAATTGTACAAACAATTAAGAAGACTTTGAGAATTAGAAAGGGAGAGTGGAACCCTGGTAGATAAGACTTTATATTTAACTGGCAAGTGCGCACCAGGCTAACATGTAATGGTAAGCAAACCTCTAAATCTAACCACAATGCAGAATATGGAAAACCTAACCAGGGTATTCAAACCAGGAAACCGAGTGCAGGCTCGTAACTACACCTCAGACCGTAGATGGGAGTTTGGCGTAGTGACAAGACGCCTCAGACGGCTCCACTACGAGCTGCAAATGGATAACGGTCTTGTATGGGTTCGCCACTTAGACCAAATTTTGGGAACTACTCTGGTACTGAGCTAAAGAATTGGGACGGAGGATTGCGTATATCCGGTACTAAGTAACCATACTTGTGTAGTCATTATATTATTGACTGATGAATATAAAATGTATTACATAATTTAATTTTGCTTATTTCTGTGTCTACTAAAAAAATAAACAAAACTTGAACCAACCTATACAAAACAATTACATTCCAAGATTTTCTATAAAAATAAACAATAAATCTTTGGTTCAAGAGACCTCAAAGTCTGTTTTCTTTAAAAGTACTCGTAGGTAACTTTTAAATTTATTTACTGTTTTTGTTGTGTTATTCCTAAATTAAGTAAAAGCGGCACATAAATATTTCTACTTCGAAGCGATATTGCGCGTTCGTCTCCGTTTCTAATTATCAGCTTCAGTAATTTTAAGCTTTAAACAACTACTATGACATAACTCTGGTGTCAAAACTTTAGGAAACGTATCTGTACAGTACAAAATTTATATTTATTTTGCATATAAGTACAGTTATTGTAGTCCATTTCAATATATAAATAAATATTAGACATTACGTTTCTCCGATCCCAAATTAAGTAAATAAAGCACTTGTGTTATGGAAATCGGAAACGACAACTTTACCACAAACACCTAGACCCGAGATTGTTATAGAAAAGTTAGTTCTTGCACATTAACCCGATCGATAGAACCCGGGACTTCAGAGATGACAACACCATGAAAACTGGTGTGCAAGCCACTCGACTACAGAGAGGTCATCTATGTATATGAATTTATCAAATATGATGTGTAAGAAAAATTGCTGGATTCATTCTATGGTCCATTTCATCCAACAAAATAAGGTTCTTTATTCAACTTTGTGGGCAATGAACCGACTGAAGTTGAAATATGAGTACGCAACCCTTGAACGTTAATAATATATGAGGTCGCGTTCGCAAGTATCCCTTTCAAGAGATAGTAAAACTATAACGAATCTTGTGTCCAACACGATAAGAGGTTGATGTTGAATTTTTTTTTATGGTGCCAAGTGTGGGACGAACAAGTCGTCCGCTTGATGGTAAACGATACGCCTGTCCATAACAGTTGCAGTACCACTCAGTGCTTTAAAACGCAAAGATCTGAGGAGCACTGCCACTACGCCCGTCACCCTGACACTTGCGTTGCTAAGTCTTATGTGCCTGTAATTTCACCAGCACCCTTGACCTTCAAAACCGGAACGCAATAATGCTCATTATTACTGCTTGGCGGCAGAAATAGGAAAGGTGGCAGTACTTCGTTAGGCGATTTTTTTCACAAGGAGCTCTACTACTATAAATATATAAATTGCAATTGAAAAAAGAAAAAAACATTTTTTTTCGTCACGTCACACACGTATTGTCCAAAATTACCACCATGAAAATTACCGCCTTTTCCTTCCTTATGGCTATAATGGAGTTTTTTTTAATTTAATTGCACTGAAGATACTTCTCTTATACAAACTTATAAGATTAAGCAAAAAGTTTTAATGATCGGAAAATCTGAATTATTTCATATAAGTTAAATTTTTATTGAATTGAAATGAGGTCCGTTGGTTCGTTCCGTGGCTTAGTTGGTATAGCGTCTGGCACGGTATGCAAGAAGACGTCGGTTCGAATTCGACTGGATCGAAGGAATTTTTTCTGAGTGTTCGATCTTTGTATTAATAGTTATTTCATATAAGCTTAAGTATAGAAAAAAATTAAACATTTGCTAAATTAATTTTATAAATTCAAATTTTGCAACATTCTTAGTATTTTGAAATTATTTATTTTGTTACATCACGGGTGTATGCGTTTTAGACTTACAACATTTTAATTCGAGTTGTATTTATTATCTATGTAAGAACAGCTGGCCATCTGTTTACATATAAAAACTTAAATAAAAAATCCTCTATTTTCCAAATTTGTAATTGTAGTGTTGTGAAGCGATATTTATTCATACAAGAAATAAATTATCATTTTCTTTATTTCCTCGCAAATGTAATGAAAAACATTATACATAGCACGGGCGGTAAACAATTACAAACTTCGAGTCATTAAAATATTATAGCATCTCGTCGTATTTTTTTTATTTACCGCCAAAAATGCACTAATATATGGTTATATTTTCATATAAAAACATAAAGTCAAGCTTAATTACTAAACAATTAGTTCCAAAACGGTCTTCTCAGCATTTGTCGGATCGTGCGTGCAAAATAAACAGGCGTCGATACTTATTCTGCGGCGGTAGATAAACAGCCGCGATCTCAATCAACAACAAAACGAGAAAAGTTTAAAACATCAAAATAAAACAAGTTTTTTAATCTAAGTTGTCATTTACACTCGTTTTGATTTATATGTTTGGCGTTATTTGAAAGAAAAAACGAGCAGTGTCAGATACGCCACGTTGAACTTTATTTTGCAAGCAATAAGTAACTTAGCATATCGTGCCAGACACTATACCAACTAAGCCACGGAACGAACTAGCGGTACCTCACGTAGCGTCTAGCACTGTATGCTAGAAGACGTCGGTTCGGATCCAGCTGGATCGAAGGAATTTTTTCTGCGTGTTCGATGTTTGTATTAATAATTATAACAAACTGGTGGAGTAATTTCACATAAAAATAATTGAATATCAATTCAATAAAAAAAATTAAGTACCATGAATAGCGACATCTCAAGCCGGGGCTGGTAGCTGTAAAGGTATCTAACTGGGTGACGAAATATCATAGATTTCTCATACATGGCGCTACGGCTAAAAAATCGTAGAAAAACCAAATGCAAAGATACGACGCATGCACATAGAACAATTCGTGAGGTCCGCTGGTTCGCTCCGTGGCTTAGTTGGTTATAGCGTCTTCTAGCATACTAGAAGACGTCAGTTCGAATCGAAGGAATTCCTCTTTCTGACTGCTCGATCTTTGTACTAATAATTATAACAAAAACTAGTGGAGTAATTTAACTTAAAAATAATTGAATATCAATTCAATAAAAAAAAATAAGTAACTTGTTTTAATTTACTATTTCACTTAATTTTCATAGAAAGTAGTATTTTATTAATAGGCAGGTCTTAAGTTCGATACTAAGTACGTATCTAGTGAGAAGCCACGCAGAGTTTGAGATATATGAGACTAAAGCACTTCTGAATTTAATTACCTTCTATGGTACCGTTGATTAAGACTTGGTAGCCTACTTGATAGGTTTGACCTACCGCGTCTCAAGTAGAGGCCATAGATTCGAATCGGAGCTCGCATCTCTGAGTTTCTCAAAATTTGCGTGCCAAATTTAATTTGAAATTTACCATGAAAATACCATGCACGTCGAAGAAGTTTTACAATGCTCGGAAAATGAGTGGTGGCGGACTAATTGCCTAAACCCTCGCCTGAGAAGACCCATGTTCAGCAGTGGGACGTATTAACGGGTTGATGATGTAGATGATTAAGCCTTAATAACAACCTTGAACTTAAGTAGGTCGTCACAAATATATCGATATAGGTACGTATCCATTCATAACTGGAGATGGATTTATTAATACGGACTTGAGGTGGGTACCGGTTGGGATAGCTCGACAGGGGTTGGGTATCAGGGGGATTTATTTTGGTATTTATTGGATTATTGGAACTAAAAATAATATATTTGACAGTTAGGTAATATCTCAAAAATAACTTTGACAGCTAATATCTCTAAACTTAATAAGACGGGAAACTTTCGGCATTTGATATGTAATATTTTGTACGCTTCTTCTTGCCAACCAATGATTAATTGCTAGAGCATCTGGCATGGGTTGCCCGAGACTGCTGGTTCGAATTCAGCCGGATCCAATGAATTTTAACAAGTTTTAAGATTTTATCTACATGAACGAGTGATTAGCATTTGAAATTATAATGTTCCCTAATTTGACTAAGGCACCTAAAACCCCTTTCTTCGTGGTACAACTCATTTATCCTAATAGTTGCTCTCAGTGCGCTTTCTATTATACAAATGAAAACATACTCCTGTACCTATATGTTAAACATATACTGCCGCTTTGCGTAGACTAGATAATCTAATAAATAAATGACAACTAGGTACTTAAAGGTGTCATCACAGTCGAACCAAAAACGCATTAAACCGGTCAGAAAATTTGTGGCCATGTAGATCGCAAAAGGCGTTGCATGTGATGCATCGGCGGCTTGAGGAGAAGCAAAACTCTCGACGCCAATAGGCTCTTATTGAGTGACTAACTTATAAGCTTTTAGTTAACGGCTCAAGCAAATTTCGCGTTAATGAGAGTGTGGTAGCTCGAACTACGAAATCGTTTGCAAAAGAAGGAGTGGTACATACAGTAAAAAGCACAGAACGATAAAACAGTAGATGTGCTCAGTGGGTGTGGCACGTATGCCAACAGTACGCGCAGTTGCACATACTTGAAGCTCAGTTCACCATTTTTTTTTTTTTTTTTTTTTTTTATTGGGGTCAACAAACAGTTACACATTTAAAAATAGTACTTAATTATACTAACAAATAGTGACTTAATGAGTAACCAACACCGTTAACCACAGGTTATGTAAACAGTTACAAATATAAATGCTATAACTAATTGCCCACTAGTTGTAATGATTTTTGTGAACACAACAATGATCAACACGAAACGAAATGAAACAACGGTGATCGCTTACCAGCGTTAGTGCGACATTTTCGCTTATATGTTATGGTCTTGTCAATTATCTGTCGTTAAAAACCTGAAAAGTCGTGGAAAGATTCTTTGTTTTGCTACTTAGTAGTGCAAAAATAATAGTCGCGCCTGTAACATCATCCATGGTGGTAATTCATATCATCGTTAAATCTTATTTTATAAATTTTTATACATTTTTTGTTTTCTGTTTATCGTGATAGATTTTTGTTATAAGAAACAATGATAAATTCTGTTGCCGTTAATCGTTAGTCTTTCAGTTAATGCCACTAGATGGCAGCAATTTGAATGAAATTTCATTTATAAAATCAATACTTGCAATAATAAGTATAGAAACTTCACCGATATGCCAACTGGATAAAGTTTAAATTATGTTAATAGTCCAGAAATTGTTACATCTTTTTAAATTAAAAATTTTGACCAATCATTATTAAGATTTCACATATTGAACATTATGTAAATGTGAGTTTTGGTTACAGTGGTTCTAATAGTAATCGAGGTCTTTCCATTGTTTTTTGTTTTCTTTCGTGGTTGGAAGGGTGACAATATTATCAACCTTTATGCTAATGGAAACGTGACTTGAAAGGTCGCAAGTAATAAAAATGTTATAATTACTACAAAGATCAATCACTTAGAAAAAATCCTCGAACCTTCGAACCGGATGGGTTCGAACCAACGTCTTCCAGCAAACCGTGGCAGACGCCAAGCCACGGAATGAAATAGCGGACTTCACGAATGTTTCAGTGCTTGTTGCAGATCTTTGTTTTTCGTTTTTAGCGACTTTTTTACCGTAGCGCACTCTGTGAGTAATCTATGTCTTCAGCTAGTGGACTAATCTCACAAAAATAATTTTATTACAAATTTTAAAACTTTGTATCGATTCAATAAATATTATTGTGCTGTGTATTGCTCGGGTTCGTGAAAATAGTTCCTTATTGTGTTTGCACACACGTTATCTTTCCATTCCATTGTGTTCGTCCCGGGCTAGAATTTTCAAAAAATGTTCAAATAATGAGATTGATTTATATGATTGTTATCGGTCTCAATATATGTATATAAATTTTTTCGATTTTTCATTATTTTTAGTCCCGAGCATATCAATGCGGCGCGGCCTAAACGGAATAAGTAATACGTTTAGGCCGCGCCGATCACAATGCCGGGCAAAGGTCGAACATTACATGTACAGTGACATGTAATGTTCGACCGACATAAATATACTTTTGTACATATCTAAAACTGACATACATCTGTTGATTTAAGATTTATATTTCACATTAACCTTATTTATTTTTTGCTTAATATGATTTATATATCCGTGGTAAGAATACTTTAAACTAATAGTTCTGAGTCTACCACAGCATTGTGCCGAAATTCGATTTTGTTATACAGGAAGTAAAGAAATAGTTGAGCGGGGACGAGATACTAGTTTCCCTCGTGGTATAAAATAGTGGGATGACGAGAAAACGATGCTAAAAACACAATCTTTGTTTGCGACAGGTCCCTGCGTAGCAGGCGTGGTTGGTCTCAAAATGCCCCGTTACTGCCTATTTGGAGACACTGTCAATACTGCTTCCCGCATGGAAACCAACGGAGAGCCTTTGAAGATCCATGTCTCGCCGACTACAAAGACATTGCTTGACACATTTCAGACTTTCAGACTTGACTGCAGAGGGGAAGTTACTATGAAGGTAAATAAATTCTTAAACGTTTTAGAGAAATGCTGGTGGGTACGTAAACTTTTATTTTTATTTTTTTATTTTTTTTCACAGGGGAAAGGAACTCTAGTCACATATTGGTTGTTAGGAGAGACAGTAGATTCCAACGCCGTTGTTCCTTATCGAGAGAAACCACACACGTCGAGGACACAGAATTCAACTATTGAATGTGTGTCTCATCTTACGCCTTTCCGAAGTCGATTGGATCACGGATCCAGATCGTCAAGCCGCCGAGGCTCTGGGATATTTATATCAAAAACAGCTGACGCCATAAAACTGGAAAAAGAGGCGCAGCCTTTGTTGCAAACTCTTAAACTACAGAGACAACTTTCAGATCCAGAGACAGTGTCCAATGGCGTCACAGAAACAGATGAACTAGAACGAAGTATGTCAAACTCTATATCTCTTACGGTGAACTCGCTAAATTATGGCGCTATGAGTCAAAATAGCCAATCTAAAATGAAACTTAGGGATTGTCAGGGAAACTCTACTGGAAATCACAAATCAAAGATTGGCAATAACAATTGGATCCCGAAAATTTCTACTGCAAGTTCCTTTGATAATGGAACTAAGCGAAACAACGAGTGTCTAAAAGATTACAGCAGCGTACCTCTGCTGTCCAAAGCCGAGACGCCAAATGATTCGATAGTTTAAAAACGTGCAAGATTAGACGTATGGTGTAAGAATCAGATACAACTACTAAAGAACAACGAGTATTGTGGTCAGTGGAAGATCTATACTGAAATGTTTTAATTGCAATATTACGTATACTTATTGTTGTTTATAGTAAATTATCTACATGTTGTGAAGTAATCAATAAAAGTATTATTTATTTGTTTTCATTGTCGCCAAAGTAGTTGTAATAAATGTGATTTACTCAAATTATATGACAAAGCTCTTCTTGACGTGGTAATAAAGAAACATTAGAAGTTTTTCATCAAAAATAAAATACAAAGTGCAAGATTTGGATTGGTCTTTATTTGGTGCTTCAAAGGAAACTTAATAAACTTAAATGGAAAAAGATGTACTGAAAAAATCATTTTGAAAAAAAAGAAATAAGTAGGTGTTACTCATTTAATGATTGCATGGCTAATGTAAAAGATTTTAATACAATACAATGTCCAGTCTTGTAACCCTGTAAGACACCGCAACTTAATTTAAATTCAAAATAATATTTAAAACAAAATAATTCAACATTAGAAATGGTTTCCTGTAAAGTTAATACTATAAAATTGACTTCTAAAGTATGGATTTTGACACTATAAATAAATCAAATAAAAGAAAATAATAATAATACATTTTAGTAACAATTTTTAAAATGGCAGATCCCAACAGCTTTCAAGCCTTACGTATAATTTTATTTATTTACTCGTACTACATATCTCTCGAAAAAGTTTTGCAACGTATCCAAAGGCTTTAAATATTGTCATCAATTCAAAACCTTTACGATTCAAAAGTCTTCTTTTTTGCTAAGCAAGAAGGGTCCCGTTGGCCGAGAGATTCGCCGACATTATTCACAACCCACTTCACCCGCCCCTAGATTTAAACCATATATTGCGCTAGACCCATCTGAGGCCCGCGACATTGACAATGTCGTCTACTCATTTCGCTGCGAGACGTCTCACGTTTCTGTAATTACTTCTTGGCCACCATTATCTTGCAGATTTACTTCATCTCCGAGTGTGTTCGGTCATGGCAAATACCTCGACGCTCAAAGATGACTAATTTAGCCAACCTTCGTACACATTGAAGGCACGTGAAGTTTTTATCTTGTCGCGATAACATTGAGTTCAGCTTTACGCTGCTTTTCTAAGTCGGTGACTTGCCTATTCGCAATCCTGTCATTCAGAGCTGCTAAATATTCCACCAAATAAAAACCAACTTAGTCGACTTAGCATTGAATCATAATTTTATTAATCATTTAAATGATCTTCAAGACATTAGGATCAAATACTTGCACAAACAAAAACATAGTTGTCGTAACTACCTTGATGGTATGTTCGTATGTAGTATCATTCTGTACATTCCTAAGAGCTTGTTTAAAGACTATCCTGCCATGAGTGTGATACTTTTGATAGAATCTTGGAATTGGACGTAGAAACTCTGTCTTTTGATTCGGCTGATTCTTGATAATCTTTATTGATGAATGATGTTGTGAAGTATTCATACTATTTATTAATTTACTAATGAAGAGACTAGGTTGTAAATATATTGTTTATTTATTGTAAATATTGGTATAATTAGATAATGTATTATTCTTTGTCGAAATTGCAAGTTTCTGTGTTATATTCATTAGAGGTTGCACAAAATTTTAAAGAAAATATCACAAATAAGGCAATGGGTGTTAAATGTACCTCTGCTAGTAATCGCTTTAACCAAATTCATAGCCGTATCTTCCTGTTAAATTCGATGTGAATTTCTATTAAATGTTTAACTGGATAGGATAAAATAATATATTCTAGATTAGTTAAAAGCACTATTGTTACAGTTATGCATTCTCTTTATTGCAGCATCGAAGTCGTCATAATTGTAAACGCAGATAAAATAGCTCGGTTATCGTTTACCGCTACAAAATATTAAACTTCAGACTTTCACCTGTTAACAGTACTTAAATCGGGAACAACCCCGCAGGACTATATTACTAGCATCATAAACAATAACTTTTTCGCCTCACTAGCTCGGAAAGGCTTTTTTCTCATTAGGAATCCGCAAAAGTGTTTTTTCCAAGCTAGCGTGGAATAGGTTTTTGAAATTCGAACTCGACGGTGGAATTTTTCTTACGATGAAAAAAAACACAATGACGCGTTCGACTACGCGATTTGCCGTACATTATTTAAGTAATATAAATCCGTTGGTTTATTTTATTATTATTATTGCTGACATTAAATTGACAACGATGACAATTTTTTTGAAGGAGGAGGTTTTCAATTCGACTGTATTTTCTTTTTGTTTTGTATGTATGTTACACGATAACTCCGACATTGGAAAGAGGGTATCTCGGTAGTGAGGCGAAAAGTTATGTGTTTCGCTCGGCAGCATTGTTGCTTTGCGCCTCGTGCCTTGAAACTTATGCTACACTGAGGATTCTAGTTTTCTTCGTTTTCCTCGGCTTGCTCAGGTGTCAATACAAACACTCGCGTCGAACAATAACTCTACAGCCTTGCATAAAAAATAACTATTGTTCCATGACTCTTAATAATTGATCATGTTTTACTTCCCAACAAAAATAATATTTAAAATAGATACCGTGATTATTATGTGCGGTGGCAAAAGAAAGCGCTAGCGTAATACCAGTCCGATGCAAAACACAGGACCTGGGAGCAGAAGTATAGTACATACAACAAAAAGTGAAAAGAAACAATTTAGGAAAGTTGATAATGTTGTATAAAATGAAAATCAGCAATGCTGAGTCTTCATGCTTTTTCTCCACACTACTGTTATTTTGTTCTAATTGTTCGCTTATATCTGTATGTATTTTGTGGATAAATAAATCGCACTTGACAAGTGACATAGCATTATCTCAAAAATTGCGTTATATTAATCATTTACCTGCCAAATTTCGCAATAATGACGTGTCACTCATATACGATTTAATTTAAAAGTGACAGACCAACACTATCGCTTTAAAACTAAATAGGTAATATTAATATAACTTAACGCCATTTTGAGATAATACTATGTTAGTGTGCGAAATGTCTTTTTATTTATTTATGTTATTATTTATTTGCAAAACGTAATGGAATAAAAGTTGTTGATGATGATGTCAGTAATATTTGTAGTCTTGCAAGGTTTTTAGTGTCTTTGAAATAGCTCCGTAAACTAATACCATATGCACTCCTTACAATTTGTCAGTCGTATACGCAGATAAAATTATATGGTTACATACGTAAATTATATAATTAATTCTTTTATCGGTGTGATGTTACAAGAATTGTATTTTGATGTCATCATGTAATAGTGGTAATTGTATTCAATGTTTGTTAAGATTTTGACTAATAATCGTGGTATTCTTTAAATTATGGAACTTTTATGTCGTTGTAGTACCAATGTGTTTAATGTCATAGACTATTTAACTGAAAACCACAGGTTACGATTCCGTAGATGTAATTTTGCGCAGATCTATTCACTTAAAATAGGAACTTATTGTTGTTGTGATATTAATAGTGCACGAAAAAAAACACAAAAATAATGTGGTTGAAATCAATGTACCTACCTACTTAGATGAAATGTGAGATAATATATGTTACAAAACATTGTAGCAAATTAAAAGAGTGAGAAAACCAGTGTTTCATTTTATAATAACCTTATCATTCTTCTTGCGAATAATTCCTACGCAGTTTTCCCCAAGGGGTCAAATGCGGCGCTCTGATTTGCTGACCGCGCCGCACAATAGAGTGACATAAACAACATACACGAACGAAAATCCTTCTTTTGTTCGTTGCTTATGATCTGTAGATAATAAGTATGTTACCTACATTTTATCTATCAATACTATTGACTTACAATTATATATGGACGTCGGGTCCGCGCTAAAAAGTGTCCGAACTTATAGGGCGTTAAAATCGTATACAGAGCGTTATTCACGCTTTAGTCTTCGTTTGTTTCTTCTGACAGCGAAGCAAGCAAAATTAGACAGTACTGCGATGACATTACAATTTGAATTCAACGTTTTAGCTTTTTCATATTCCTTTACATGTCACTACGTTTAAATAGGTTGACTTGGGACATTTTTTTCGTGGTTTTTGTATTAGACCCGTCGTCCATTTATTTGTAGGTCAATGATCAATACTTATAAAAATGATCGAACATAATACACTACTTAAAAGTAGTTTGCCGTGACAAAAAAGTTTAATTGAAAAAATAATTGATGGGTTCATAGGATCAGAAAGTTTAACAAAGGTCCGAGCTAAAAATCTGTTACGAAGTATTTGTACATAGCATACAGCTTTATGTCAATTATGTAACGTCCAAGCTATAATTCTAGAGAAATTCGATATAGAATGTTTAACAACAAAACGCTGTTAGGCAACTAATGATAGCAGGTGTATAGAACATTTTTTTGTCCATGCTCATCATTTAGGTTAGTTCTGCCATCGGCCTGATCACGTAATTGGAATTTAAATAGGTCACCAAGTAATTTTTGTTATGTAGAAGTAATACGTAGCTAACCAATTATCAATAATTTGGCAAAGTACCTATTGATACGTATGATTTATGAATAAAGTAATTAAATTTTTGATACCGCCTACTGATAGGACCAAAAGGATAAATATGTCCTCGTGTTCCTACTAATGTACTGTCACCTACATTTATATGTAATTGATACAATACCAATTACATATGTACTCGTATGTATTTTATCGATTCTCTAAGCTTATCAGCCTCTTCAGTGAAAGCTATTAACGTCTTTCCATATAGGTATTTTATAAACAATGAAACAAACTTCATTTTTCATGTCTGTGATATTTCTGTAGACGGAATTGAATTTGATTTTTGATAAATAAATTTAAAATGTGTAATAATATGGAAAAGCCTACACTTGTAAAAAAAAAGGTGGAGCAATATTGTTACATTTAAGTTATCAGTTCTATAGTAAAAAATATATAATAATGGAAGTGAAACTTGGCAATGCAGCCAAACTAAACTAAAATTTGTAATGAAGTGTGAAGTTTGGGATCGGTTACTATGTAGGTAAAGATAAAACCTTCGTTAGCACCAAGTAGGTTACCGTTACGGCTCGTTCACACCGAGAACTTTTGTGTTCGCACGTAGAAACTATAGTTACGACAGGTCGTGACATTTGACAGTAAAATGTAAAAGTTCCCGGTG